TTCCTTAGCTTGTCTTTGGCCTACTTATACAAATTATTTGTAACACTACCTTCACCTCGATCTTTCCTAAACTAAATTCTTGTCTAATTGTTAAAATTCAATAAACTATAACTGCTACGCTGCCCAAAGGTTACCCTTCTGAATTAGCCCAAATTAGACTAAGATCGCTCTTATTGTTTGCCCGATACAGACAACTCTTATTGTTATCTGAGTTTAGTGCCATTTACCACCTTGGTTTAGGTTGATTATACTAAGCATTATATCCTAAAAAGTATTATCCACGCCTGATTTCCTTGTGAATTGGTTTTTGTGGTTTGAGTATTGATAATCCGGAGCTTGTCACGTATTTGTTGTTTAAGGATTGCCGAAGCCTTAGAACTAGTCCACTTCGCCAAATCTAAACGTCTCTTTCGATAAGGTGGTCTAGTACTTTGTTAGATTAATTTTGCTAGTTGATTTAACTCCTGGCAAACCCAAATTTTTCTGTGCAATAGTAGCGAATGGTTACAGATTTTACGACTATTGTCAAGATTGATACCAGTAAGTTCTGCAATTTTTGGCATCATGGTATTTAGCTTATTTGTTCCCATCTGGGATTTCTTAAACCAGACACCCTTATTTATATCTATAAAAAAAAAGAAAAAAAAAAGTTAATAACAAAATTCATTACAAAATTGAAATCAAAAAATAAGCGCTTTAAACCCTTTGCCGCCTATGTTGTTTTCAAGAAAAATGAATCACAAAATATTCTCAATTGGTTTAAAGCGATTATTCACTTGATTAGAAGGAATGGGAATCTTTCACGCAGAGCTTTTCCCATATTTGTTTCGTTTTAAAGCCTCATACTGATTTTTTTTCATGGTTAAACGTAAGATAAAGCCCACCATCATCACGATGAGAGATATCTTTGAACTTAATTTTTTCGGCATCGCCATCTCAAAGACTACAGAGTAATGATAACCAAAAGAATACTCATCGTGTCAACCCTTCATTAGTCCCAACTTGTATTGATTCATGGTTGAGTATTTGAGAAATTTCTTCAGCAGTTAATGGTGAGGCTTGATCTGTTTCTCCAAAACCTTCGTTTTGCAGTTTTTTTATTTTACTATCAAACATTCTCAATGCCTTATTGAAATGGTATGAATCCCACAACTTACACAACCTAATTTCACTGTGTTCTTTTAAATAACAAGCCACAGAAGCGTAGCAGTTATGAATGCTTTCAGCCTTGTAATCTCTTCCATCCAGCCATTTTAGCCAGGTAAGGAACTTACACAAAAAGTCATCTAATTCTTTTAGTAACTCTATTTTCTCAATTCTTTTTTCATACTTTAAGGTTGTATGAAACCTGTCAATAGAGCATAGCCACTTAGAGGTACACTTGTCTGTATTCTCTACACATGAAAGCTTTTGCAATTCAAGAACTTCCACTTCTGTTAGTGCAATGTTATTATTTCTTGTTCTCATTTTTTTTTAAAAAAAAGTAATTAAAAAGATTAATAATGATAGGAAAAAAAGATCAATTTGATTACTAAAATATGTAGTCAAAATTCTTTATATAGAAAAAGTATAAAATACTAACCAGAAGTTTAATAATAATTACGTAATTCACAGATTGTACGTCGAACCTATGAAATAATCTTGTTATTTAATGGGTATCAGTGAATACAGTGTATTTCATAGATTAATAGTAAACCACGTGGTCTTCGGCCATGTGATTTTACTATTAATCTATGAAATACACCATATTCACCTATACCTATTAAATAACAAGAATTTATTGCATACATGGATGACACCACCTGGATTGCCAATAGTAGAATGTCACTTGAAACCATCTTATCCATTGCTTCATCCTTCTACACCTTCGCCCAAATTACTGTCAACCCAATAAGTCAATACTCAAATGCAACAATACCTCTGTCTCACTTCTAATAACCTTTCAAAACCAACCTATACACAACCCCCCAAAGATACCTTTCAATTCCTTGAAACTTACATATGCCACGCCACAACAATAAACTTATTATCCAAAAACTAATGCACAAACTAAACCAAGACTTAAACAAGCTACACCACTCTCTCATCACCAAAAAACAAACTATCTATATTATAAATATAGTCTTACTCGCTTGTCTACGTTACCAATTATCAAACACTTACTTAACCACTGCTGAGGCATCCAAACTTACTAAATGCTGCACTGCTATTATCAAAACAAAAGCAATGATATCCCACTCCCTACCCAATTCAACTCTTCTCCTACCTTATTTATATGCACTAACAAACATCAACTAACTACAACAAGCCCACTATGCATTTATCCTTGAAAACTTATTAAACTCAGCTCTCTCTCTATTAACCTTTAATATTCATATTTAGCAACTACAAAATGATGCTTTTTCTTATCAGTCAATCTTGACACACCCATCTTAATTCTCTACAAAAGAAGTTAAAACCTTTACTACACACTTAGTCAACAATATTCATTCACTCAATCTACAATTTTCCCGCATAGCAAACCCCTGGCCAATGCCACTCTATCAACAAATCTTAGCTCATATAAATAAATCCACATATATTAAAGCAAAACTCAATCACCACAAAATTAGTGATATGGGCCAACAAAAAACCAGCGGGTCGGGGGCCAATACGACCCAGGTCAACCCTGATCTTTTTACAACATATAATTTTTTAGCCAATCAAAATTACAAATGTTTATACCCAATTTTTTTTTAGACATGATGAATAGATCTAGTTAGATCTAAAAAACATACTCTAAGTTATGTACATACATATTTTTATTGATCAAAGCTTATACGGTATGTACAAAGAATACAAAAAAAAAAAGTAGTACTCGCAAGCTGAATTATACTAAAAAAAAAACCTTCACTCTAGCCCGAGAAAAACAATGAATAGATCCGAATTTGTTTTTAAGATCAATATATTATGCACTGTACTTGGATTTAAGCGATTTCATTTTTTTGTTAGAACATTACCTGCTTCAGAGAATAAACGTTTAGAGGGTACGAAAGTTGCTAGAAAAGCAAGAAATTTTTGGGCTAATGTTGCTAAATTTGAATAATCCTTTTGATGTGTACTCCACCAGGTAAGAGGGTTGTGGATTTTGTAAAGTGGATGGTCTATATGATATTTGTTTATTTGTATTGCTTGTTCATACTGTTCTAATTCATTATCTGATAGATAATTAGTTTAATTATCACCATCAAAAAATCGATCCATTTCAGTTTGTTCTGGGATATCTGTAGTATTTGTTTTTATTATTTCTGCTATTATTTCTTAAACTTCTTTTTTTTTTCTTTGTTATAGGACATATTTTTGAAATGAGAATCTAGATAAGAGACAATATAAGCCTCTATTAAAGGTACTTCCTAACGTTTAGTCATAGAATCCTCAATTTGATAACAAATATTAAGGATGTTAGATGAAGTTAGTGACTCTTTCATTTGGTACAAGTGAGAGAATAGAAGGGAGATAGTAGGAAGCATCATGCCAAGGGTTGGATATTGTGCTCCTCTGATTAATTTTGTTGTTTGAGCAAAAGGGTCTAAAAGTAAGGTTAGTTCTTCTAATTCTATCCATTCTGTTTCTGAGAGTAATTTATTACTCAAAGATTGACCATCCTTTCTTTGTTGAAAATTAGGATGCCGACATAAAGACCTTGCAAGTTGCTCCACAGCATCTCGTAATTGAATTAATCTTTTTAAAACCAAAAAAGTTAAGTTCAATCTAGTTTTCACATCATGAATAGGTTCTACAATAGATAAGTTTTTTTTTTTTTTTGTAACTATGATGATAATAGTGGTTCTAATGATTCAATTAAATCTTCAGGTTCTGATTCAGAATCGTCACCTTCTAATAGTAGCCATTCTGTGTCTTCTAAGACATTTTCTGACAACTGATTAAATTCATTTTGAATATTACGAAGACTTTGATGATATCGGTCTCTTTTTACTAACCAGTTGTTTAATTTTTTTGCTTTATTTAAAAGATTATTACAGACATTAAGTCCATTATTAATAAATAATTGAATTGTGTGGGCAGTGCAACATATATGAGGTGTTTCAAGAAGTCTCATTCCTTTAACAATTGATTTATCATTATCAGTTGTTCCTTCTACCAATTTATATATATATTCCAATATTCGAAAATTTTTGATAAAAATTGTTCTTGGCATTCTCCTGAGTCTGAATAAGAAAATTCCTCTATAGTTAACACTGCTTGATATAATTTAAAATTATTTGAAAGCCAATGGATAGTTACACCAATATAAGGATGATGCATACTAGTCCACATATCAGTGGTAAAAGAAAATATTTCCATTGTTTTGATATTAAATTATGCAATTGATCTTCAGCAAAGAGCACTGATTCTCTAATTTTTGTTTTAATTAGAGCTGAGCCAGGAACCTTGAAATGAGGATCCATTTTATAACAAAACTGCTAAAAACAATTTCCTTCCACAATAGTCAAAGCTTGACAATCATCAACTATCTATGTAGTCAAACGATATAATAATTTTTGTTGTTTAGCTGGCTTATGAGCTTCCATTTTTGAAAACATTAAAGGTATAGTTAGCATTGATTTTTCTGAATTTATTATAGATTGTCTGTCAGAATTTTTTTTGTATTGTTGATAAGAAAAAATTTGATGAACAGAATTGTGATGTTCACCAAGATGCATGGTTGATGTTGTAATACTAAATATTTTATCACAATTTTTTTTATTTCTATTTGAATTAGTTATAACAACATCACATCTAATTTGTTTTTTTAACTTATTCTTTTTCATGTATCTTAAACCTAACTAGGAGCCCTTGTTGCTAATTTTGTTTTATTTGATTTGTCTATACAATTTGTTAATATTTTAACATCTGGAATTTCTAAAGATTGATCAATTGTGATTACTTGATGGTCCTCATCCTAAGATGAAAAATGAAGTGGTGAACTTGTATTATATAATGTCTGGCTTGAGAGTTCTTCACTTTCAGTTATAGAAGCATTCTCCAATTGACTAATTTTTTGTACTTTTTTAGGTCGAGTTTTAGGTAATTCTGTATTAATTTTATTTGATAACTCTGAGATATCAGAGGTGGTTTGTTGAACTCTTCATTTTTTTTGGGATCGAGTATTATGTTTTTTTTTTAATTATAATTAAGTGATAAAGTGCAACTTGGGAAAATTTAAAATTTATATATGGTTCATGTTGAGAAGAATTTTATAGAATTTATATTATATAGTTTAGAGAATATTTAAGCTTTGATTAGTATATATATAATGGAATTAGAGCAAATTTTATTATTTTACTAATGAAAAAACAGTTATTATGCTCTCTACAGATAACGATACTCTATATATACTCTAGTTTAGACTCGATTACACATTATATAAGGTAAGGAAAATGAAAAAGAATGTACAATTTACAAAAAATGTAGTTATAAGAATTTGCTAATATAATAAAAAGTAATTATTGCCTAATTATTACCCAAAAATGAAGTAATAACTGTAATAACATAATGTAGTAATGATCTACACAAAATGAGGTAATAAAATAATGCTAATAATGATAATTTTTAATAATAAAATTAATATATAAAAAATTTTAGCGATCCAAGCTTTACAGTATGTGCTATTTCATAAATCATGCTTTAACGTTCAGGACAAATTATTTTTAACAATATAGCATATATATATTATATCAGTAAAATTTAAATAATTTAGAATTATAGTGAGTGAATTAACATTAATTGCAATATAAAGTTATTTTTAATAAATTAGAATATAAATTAGCATTGGAATTTATAGTAGTATGAATGAATTACAATGTAAAAGTCTGTTTTTTAATATAAAGCACGTGTAAAACTTAGAGACATATGTAAATAAACATTAGATAATCTGGATAAAAATATTTGAAAAACAAGAATTTAAAACTCATTAAAAATAATTGATAGTACCGTTTTACTATCATGCTATATAATATTATTTAAAGTTTTATTTTGGTAAAAAGATTGATCAGGTCAGCCTGCAAAAACATGAGTCGACCCTCAACCCACTCAGTGGCCCGGCTGATAGATCAGGGTCGGCCTGTATCACTACACAAAATAAGCAACATCGAACAATTTACAAACTAAAATAACTCAGAACTACTAGATTGGACAAACTTCTACCACAACATCAGTAAAATTCCACGCGAAAGAACCCCAAAGTGGTTTATACATATTCACAAACTACTACAAGCCACAGCTACAAATACATTTGTTCTAACACAACCTAACCCATATATTTGGAAAACTTATTCTAACAAACAATACAACAAATGTTAGATTATATCCTCACATCTCGCAATGGAAAAACAATGTCTTATAATGATGACTTACTTAAAATACAACATTGGAATCTCAACAATCATAATCTCCTAACTCACTACCCGGGTTGTACACTACACGACCCAACTACTAAGACAAAATACTGTACCTTCTGGTTCCCCAATAGCAATATTACTGAAATCCAAGTCGACTCAAAAAAGTATTGGCACAGAAATATAACAACCTTTCATAACCCACACCCAATACAAACACTACACAGAACACTATACTGTTACATCCCTCATACTTACTGAATCTCCTTTGAACTAGCCTAGTCCATTACCGGTCATACTGAAACCTTTTGAAAATACTATCTCAACTTATCTACAACAAACAATATTCAAGCAGAAATAACTATTACAGCACAAAAAAACACCAAAACTAGTATCCCAACTGCAATTATTTATCACCCATTTAATGAGAACACTCACCTATCCAATCTGATCAACCTTACTATCCAAAACAGAACCTGGTCTAATATTAACAAAATTGTACTCACAAGCCTTTTTTTATTTATAACTCTTGCCCCCGATAATGCTCACATCACACTCAACACAAACTTCTAACACATTATTAAATCCATTTCTCAGCTCATAAATATAACAATACTACTTATAGAAGACCTTTGAAAAATAAATAACTATATCTACTTTTTGCTCATACGGAAAGCAATCCTTGCAAAATCAATCCAAATCAGCACCAACCACATCTGCTCTTCAAGAAAAATAAATAAACAAACAAAGGCTATCCAAATTGAACTTAACCCCTCCCCACTCTTATAGCACATACATCCTCTCCCTTAATTAACAATTTACCTCAGATAACTTAAAAACAACTGTAAAGAAAATATATATGGCTCAAAATATAGCCAATTGGCTTCAACAAAACTGAATTCAACAGCTGCTTCAAACACACTGAAACATACTATAGAGTGCAATATTTAAATATATGCAATACAACAACAAACCCCTCCATCGATATACTAACCCCAAGATATCCAAAATAAAAAACTTCAAATGCAAACTATTGATGAAAGAACTCCCAAACTTAGTAAACCTTCATTTAAGACACTCACATACCTACACAAACCCAACTTGTTGACGATGTCAACAAGCACTCAAAAAAGACAACCACTGAATCACATGCACAACCAACCCCGTTAATATTACATCAATTATCAACTCAACCATTAACCACATTGAATTAAAATATAATACAAATATTACTAAACGTAATTTCTTTATTCAAGCCTTCTATAATACCTACCTCAACAACAACCTCCCAATTAGATTTATTACTACCTCAACGCTTCTGCCTCTTCAACTGCCTAGTCAAGCCATGCAACTAGCACCCAAATTCTACAATAAGCTAACCACCGAAATAAGAGAAAAAATCTGGATACCTAGCTGGATCTCAACTTTATCAAGTAACTTAATACTGATCAATCTATCTACTTTAACAACCACCAATATTCGACACATCAACCACACCCAAAATTTAACAAGTCAACATATTTACAATCGCTGGTTATTAAATTACATAAACTTATACACTTCCCCTCATACTTGTCCTATTTTATAGTCTAGAGGTTTTTGACCTACCTAGCTAAAGTTCAGGTCTGAAATAAATTAGCTTAATCTTCATTTCCTCTAAAATTTATATAAACAAAATTGTAAATTAACTTTGCATAACAAATAATAAAGGAATTGAGGAAAAGACCTCACTTAAAAAAAAAAATAAAATAAAAAAAATTAAACCTGCTGCATACCAAGTTTTAAGGCAAAGAGCTGCACATATCTTTTCTAGATCTATCTAATTCTTAGTTGGGCTAATAGTAAATTTTGTAATACTAAACATTTGTTCACTTGCAATGCTTGTTGCTTGAACAACTAAGTAATCACATGCTATACAAGCAAGTGAAGCCTAGCAAGAATCTAAGGATTTGGCTTTCCAATATATAAAAATATCAACTTCTTTGATAAATAGATTTAGATATTCTTTAAGAGAATTATCATTATCTACAAATATATTATATTATTTCTTCTGAAAGTAATCTCATAATGATCTAGATTTAGGAGTTTTTTCTACAAATTAATTATATTTATTTGCATAATATGTTTTATAAGTATTATAAATTGTTTGTTGTATTTTAATTATATCTTCATACTTAAATAGCATTAACTTATTATTCGGATTAAGAATTGCTACTTTATAAAAAGTTGTTTTGAGTTCATTCTAATATTTATCCAATTTTTATTTTATTCTTTGTACAACTAGTTTTAGTATATTATTTTTATTTTGAACTTTATATATTGCATTTATAATAACAAAAAATATTATATAAAGATTTCTAAATGTTGGATAACTTGATGATGAGAAGAGATTTGTAGCATGGTAAATTGGTTCAAGTAATTCATTAAGAGCCTAATAAAATTAATAAAATAATTTATTATTATTATGTATTATTATTATTATTATTATTATTATTATTATTATTATTATTATTATTATTATACTTACATCAAGCTTTTTTTAATTATCACTATTTGGATATAAATTTTTTAATTGTGGTTTTAATACAACTAGAATATCTGTAATATTCTAAATCATGTATAATTTTTCTATCATTATAAATGTAGAGTTTCAACAAG